TATATGCTTCACTTGTTGCTTAACGACTACATACAAGCTTATCCGCGCCGATTTTTACTTCAGCACTTCCAGCACCTCTGCTTTCACAACATTCAACCATACCACCAGTGTTTATACCGTTAGCAAGAAGTGGAATACATTGAGTAAAGACCTCATCGAAGCGAGTGTTTTGATCAACTGCCGCACAACAGTCCTTGGTAATTTGATACTCTGTACAGCTTGTACCACCTTTGCTTGTACAGATTTCAGCAGGACCTCCCGCTGAGACTAAGGTTGCTGATGCGAGTAATGCTGAGATCACAGTTGTCTTGAACATTTCGTTGTTTGTATGGTTTGATTCGAAGAAGTATCGGACGCCATGGTATTTATACTCTCAAAATAGAACCCTAGCGGACCGGTATCTATGGTGTACCTAGTTTTGAGGGGTCATATATAACGTCACATATAACTTTAATATATTAATTCGAATGGCTGCTAAGCAAGCAATGGATCAAAAGAACGTATGTGCAAATGCAGGATATTTAATTGATAAAGGCGAACACTGAACTTTCAGAAAATTTGACCATTGTTGATATCCACTCTGTTCTATCTAACTAGAGCTGTGAACCGTCAAATTCGGAATTAGTTGGCGTTTAATTTCAAGTTACTGTACCTTTCATGAACTTGAGGGGTAAAATCACATCCATGCAGTACTAGGACATTTAAAATTTTAAAGAAAACACTAAAATATCTAAGTATCTGCTAAAGGGATATACCGATTAATTAGCTCAAACTTTGATTATTAGATTCTTTGATCTACGCTAGGTGATGTACTTTGATTGTACCTTATTTTTTACTATCATGCTTGATTAACTTTATATAATGAATTTGAATGTTTCAAATTGTTTCAATTTTCTATTCTATCAAGTTGATATCGCACATTTACAGCTGAACGTCTCTCGCATAACTGCTCGCCAAGCAGTTATCATAACCGATTATATTAAAACTGTGTGCAACCCCCACAAACAGGTACACCATAGATACCGGTCCGCTAGGGTTCTATTTTGAGAGTATAAATACCATGGCGTCCGATACTTCTTCGAATCAAACCATACAAACAACGAAATGTTCAAGACAACTGTGATCTCAGCATTACTCGCATCAGCAACCTTAGTCTCAGCGGGAGGTCCTGCTGAAATCTGTACAAGCAAAGGTGGTACAAGCTGTACAGAGTATCAAATTACCAAGGACTGTTGTGCGGCAGTTGATCAAAACACTCGCTTCGATGAGGTCTTTACTCAATGTATTCCACTTCTTGCTAACGGTATAAACACTGGTGGTATGGTTGAATGTTGTGAAAGCAGAGGTGCTGGAAGTGCTGAAGTAAAAATCGGCGCGGATAAGCTTGTATGTAGTCGTTA